AAGATCCTCATTCCATAACGGGTGGTTTTCATCTCCCCAACGGAAGACGGTTTGCCTAATCTGCGGGTTAGCGTTAGCTAACTGGACCACAGCATGCCTAATGTAGTCATTGGGCGAGGTAGTCTTCATCAAGATAAGTTCCTCCGCTCTATCCGGGAAAGCACCACGGATATGCTCGTTACTAATGCCCAATAACCAGGAACGAAGACGATCCATAATTTCCGGTTTTATATGGAAAGCTTGTAAGTAACTACCCTTGTCCTCACTTCTGACAGGCAAAACCATAACATTCCGGTCCATAGCCTCTGCCTTCCATGGGTCCTCCACAATGCAAGCATTCCGGAAGAAATTCCGACCCTGCTCATTCATTTGTGAGATGCCTTCAAGCCTCTCACGACCGATCCTCTGAGACAACAGCTTCTGTGACTCAGTCCAGTCTTTCTCATCCACTGCCTTCAGGCCGTCAATCAACTTTTGGATATTCGTTTCTTGGGGTATTACCGCCCGCTCAGGTGCCGCTATATTCTCGTCCATATTGCTCACCGATTTGGCATCAGGCACCCCTGGGTTCACCGCCACGGCGGCGATAATCGCAACTAACTTCAACCCTCTTCCCACATGCTTCTTAGCAAGCACTGCTCGTGCCATTAGATTTTCGTGAAATTTCCAGTATTTATTTAATTTGCGTGCCCATTCACGGTACCGACACCTGTGGGGGAATCCTATGGATACTAATCGTCTCTTCAACGCCACCAAAATGGTAACTCCATCGCACCCGCATCATATGTAAAGTACCATATGTATTGCCCCCGGGTACTGAAGCTCCGACGTATTGCTGCTTTCATTCCCGTCAGATAGAGAGAAATCCGATCCAGCACTCCCCATCAAACCGGGGTTACTCCTCAACTAGCCTCTCCCATTCTCTGCATTTAATCTAGTTCTGGCATGATCAAAATATCCGGGCAGACAAAGCATCCCGACTTCTCGTTTAATCCATTTCCGCTATGACCTAGGTCGAAATCAAGGCTAATCAGCTCTCCGAGTACCACTCGTTTCAGGGTCCTCTCATGATGCTCGCTGTGGGTGGGGTCGGTGAATCTTGCATATGATGCAGTTGTAAATGTGAACTCGTAGGTCCTGATATAGCATGGGCACACCCATGTAGAAGGTTCAGCGCTGCCTTTCGGCCCGGTTCTGGGATATAGGCGGCCCCGGTTCGCGAGTGCGGTCATGATCGGGATGGAGTCGACTGAGCCAGTCGCACAACAAGGCTGGAATTGCCCTCCACATATTGAAACTGCACATCGTACTCGCAGAGCTTCATCCTCCATCGCATTAGCTTCCATTGTTCCGTGGTGTTTAGTGCAGCCAGAGCCTTATGGTCTGTGACCACGACAAAGGAATACCAGTTTCATAAGATCATCGGGCCCTGTGGGATCTGCTGTGCCGGTACGACCGCCACCGGCGACTCCGTCGGCTGGACCAGCTTAAGGAACCGGAGAATGGAAAGAAATTGTCCCGAGAGGGATATGTAATCCCCGTGTTCCTGAAATGCCGCGAGACCGGTACCTCGCGTAAAGAAGGCACTGCCGATGATTCTCCTGGAACGGGAGAATCGCCGGTGCTGTTTCGCAGTGATGTGCAGGATTCCCAACCTACTGGGTGCACCAGATGTTGACCTGACTAAGTGCGGAAGGTCTTGGACGAAGAGACCACCCACATGGAGCCAGAGTGTCAGTGGAAGCTGTGGAGCTTGCTGGGACGATATCGCGACACCTGGGAGGAGCCCAAGGTACTCAAGTACCCAGTTCGGTTCACAGCTCACAGCAGGCCGTTCAGGGCGGGAGGTGTACAAGCGGTTGAGTCGGCGAATGGCACGTCTTTCTCCAGAGGTGAGGCGTAGTCTTTGTCGAGGTCAGTGGGTCTGACTCCCTTGAGTACCCTGAGAGTGTACTCAATAAAGAAGCCCATGCTGGTCTCTGTCATGTCAAGTTCGGTGGCAAGGTACCGTCTATCCAAGGGCGTGATGCGCTCGGACTTCTTGTACCGGTAAGAGTCCATGACTTTATTGACCAGGTGCAAGTCTTCAATGGCAATCGGGCCTTCACCACTGCCCTTGTAGTGGACGGTTGTGTAGCCTTCCGGTAACAATTCCTTTTTCATGGTAAGATCCTCATTCCATAACGGGTGGTTTTCATCTCCCCAACGGAAGACGGATTGCCTAATCTGCGGGTTGGCGTTAGCTAACTGGACCACAGCATGCCTAATGTAGTCATTGGGCGAGGTAGTCTTCATCAAGATAAGTTCCTCCGCTCTATCCGGGAAAGCACCACGGATATGCTCGTTACTAATGCCCAATAACCAGGAACGAAGACGATCCATAATTTCCGGTTTTATATGGCAAGCTTGTAAGTAACTACCCTTGTCCTCACTTCTGACAGGCAAGACCATAACATTCCGGTCCATAGCCTCTGCCTTCCATGGGTCCTCCACAATGCAAGCATTCCGGAAGAAATTCCGACCCTGCTCATTCATTTGTGAGATGCCTTCAAGCCTCTCACGACCGATCCTCTGAGACAACAGCTTCGGCGACTCAGTCCAGTCTTTCTCATCCACTGCCTTCAGGCCGTCAATCAACTTTTGGATATTCGTTTCTTGGGGTATTACCGACCGCTCAGGTACCGCTGTATTCTCGTCCATATTTAATGTGAAATAGCCTTATAGATACCGTGTGTGTACAAACACGCGCTTTTTGAGACCGGACTAGTAGCTCATAACAAAACATGGCGACAGCTCAAAACGACATGACAGACTTCAAAGACATCATAGCGGCGATGATGAAGCAACAGCACGAATTGCTACAGGCAATGGTGACCAACCAATACCACTTTGCGAACAACCAACAAAGCCTGGCTAATGAAACGTTGGCCGAAGCACATATCAAATCAGAACCAATTCCGGATACGGAATTGGCCTGCGACGAATGGTTCACAAACTTGATGGTCAAATACGGGGACACCTCCAGACAGATGCTGCTTAAAAAAATGCGACAAGCATATGCGACCCCTACGAACATAACGTCTTTAGAGGATGCCCACCAACATTATATGAACCACAGATTCAAGAAGTCACGGGCACTCCACCACTGCATCGAAAAGGTCATGAAAATCTCGACCACCCATTTGAGTGCAGCCCACAATGACCTCACCAACTTGATTGCCCTAAAAGGAAACAGCTACCCCGTCGAAGCTATGCAAACTCAACGACCCCCGCTATCCAAGGCTGACCTTCACAGATTCCTTGGCTAATTGTTTAAGGAAGTTTATTCCGCGATACGGAATTGCACAACCACTCACTGACTGTACACTACAGAGTGGGGTTTCGGAGAAAAAAAAAAGCATGGAGTCACTTGAAGGAAGTGCTGACACTGGGAAGAAAAAGGTGTTTCGTCCCACGTGACCTACGGAACAACACTATGGATGACTTCCACTCACCCAACGGACTCCATCTCGGAACGACAAAAACGTACCGATCTTTGAGCGGCGCATACTATTGGCCTAAAATGCACGAACAGATATTTCAGTTCGTGAAGACGTGCCCGGAATGTATACGGACGAAGGCCCGACACGACTCCCGTCAAGGGCTTCCACTACATGTCCGAGCTACCGAACCCCTAAGCATGCTCATGATAGACGTATATGGACCTATAAGAAGACCTGGACGGAACCCGAGCTACATCCTCAATCTTCTGGATATAGCCTCACGATATTGGCAAATCTCCATTATTACCCAACCGTTCACGTCATCCTTACTCTGGGAAGCATTACTCCAAAAATGGTTCTTACCATTCACAGTCCCCGAACGAATCATATCTGATAACGCAACAATTTTCCATTCCTGGTATACACGGGATATGACCTCGCGTTTGAAAATATCGTGGACTCCCACAAGCAAGAGCCTCAGTTGAGATTATCAATCGACATCTTAACAACTTCTTTAGGACCCCAGAGGAACTACCGCGTACCTGGCCATTCCAGTTGAAACTTCTGGTGCAACAATACAACCTGACGTATCATGAAAGTCTGGGTTTCTCTCCAGCTGCACTGCTTTTCGGTAAACACCCCCAACAGACTGGAATTACTGTGGACTTGCTAAAGGACAATGAACAACACGTCATGGAAACCAACGAGATCAGACGGCTAGACGACCAGCGTATGAAACAACTCCAGAGCGAATTGGACGAGAAGATGGCGCATATCAACTTTAATCCTGTATTTCGAACGAAACCCTGCCAGAGGCCGGCTCGTTTCGTAGGCCAGATGCAGAGACTACCCCTCGCATTCACACGCTTGACGAAGAGATCCCAATTTCAGATGCTGACCTGACACACTTCCTTCAGAACGGGCCAATTTCAGATACTGACCCGACACGGCTTCCTCCAGAACGTTCCGACCTATCACGACCTGCGATTACGGAATATACTCAGAATCGAAAGAAACATGAACGTCTCCATTGCTGCTTCCCAAATCAAAAAAGAAACGACACTCTCTGATCATCTTGAATTACACGAGTGCTAATTCTCTGTTTGGGGGACTGAAGCTCCGACGTATTTCATTCCCGTCAGATAGAGAGAAATCCGATCGAGTACTCCCCATCAAACCGGGGTTATCCTCAACTAGCCTCTCCCATTCTCTACATGTATCATCCGCGTAGATATATGATAAGACTCGACCGCTACCTCGCCCTTAATCTAGTTTTTATGCCCTGGCATGATCAAAATATCCGGGCATA